GGATCAGACATGAATCCTGCCCTTCAGGCACTTACAGTCCACCGGAGGATATCAGAAATGTGTATAAACAACAAGAGAGGAGATTTTAAAAGTCTTAAGAGAGGTGCAGAAGCAGTGCCATAAGAGTTCACGGGAGAAATTATTTCTAGCTTGGAAAATCATGAAAACTTGGTGAAGATGAAATATGAGGTGTACCTTGAAACAGACGTAAAATTTGGATGTGGAGGAAAGAGAAGCATTTACAGGCCAAAGGCACAAAGATGCTGGCAGGTCGTGAGCCCAGTGGGCTCAGAGGGAACACCCAGGACTAATGGGAAAGCACAAGTCAGCACCGGCAGACTGTGTGTGTGTGTGTGTGTGTGTGTGTGTGTGTGTGTAAGTGCAGTGGAAGCTTAAAAGGAGGGACCAGGAGAGAGCTTCCTTAAAATCGTGATTCCTTGATACTTATTGACCTGCAACGTTTTTCTTATAGATTAAAAAACAAACAAAAAGCACTACCACACCTTGGCATTCTTCCCAGAGTAACCAAAAAATTCACCCTCACTTTTAAGTATGCAACTTCCGGGTAGCTTTCATTATATTAATCTAATCCTGAGTTACTAGAACTAGAGAAAAATAGAAGTGAAAAAAATGTAAGATTTTGTTTTATGGCAGTGAATATTACAGTTTTACAGGAAATATTAATCTAATGTATTGAATGTGTTTTTGAAACATAGAATTTATGTTTTCAAACACATGCTTATTATAGTTTTTTTCATCAAGATTTTACCATTTGGAATGAAGACCTGCATGTGTGGTTCTCATTTACAGGTTACTAAGAGGGAGCTGAGCATTACAGATTTATATATGTGTCTGTACGTGTATACACACACATATATATATGAGTGTGTGTGTATAGAGAGAGAAAAAAGAGAGAGAGAAGTTTACTAAATATTATTTCTATCACCAGAAAGTCATCTTATAAATTTAATAGTCATTTAATATTACAATTACATTATAGTTAGCATGAGGTTTATTTTATGGAAAATCAGCCCTTATGTTAAACGTCTTTGCATGATGATGTCGCTTTTATTTTTAAACTCTGACCTGTAGCATCCTTGCATGGAAAACAGGTGGGTGCCTGATAGGTGTTTGCCCGGGCCGAGCGGCACCAAGTGGTGTGTGCTCCAGCCCGGAGGTGGCACCCTCGGGTGTCATTGTTGAAGCACCTGTGTGTCCCCTCAGGGCTGCAGGGGCCCCAAGGTCACGGGCAGTGGCAGCCAGCTCACCTGAGTTTCTGACGGACCCCAGAAGACCACGCAGCTTAGGTTTAACAAGCAAGTAATCTAAATAAACATTCTGGAATGTTGAAGCCCCGTGCCCTCTCCCCTCCCTTGGCCTCCCTCAGACTAGAAGCCACAGTCTCACCCCAGAGAAAGGAGGAGGGAATTTCTGGGATCCCTGCCCCCCGTTTCCTTTAGTGTGGCTCCTGGCAGAAGCCTCCACTGTGTGGCTTTGACACCAGAGGGGACGCCAGGGATGGCTTTGCAGTCAGCTCGCCTCGGGCTTCCCACTTTGCAAACCAGGGATAAAGCATCCACCCAACACATCCACGCCCTTCCCTTCTGCTGGAGAACGTACAGATTTTCTAAACTCCTGAATAACTTCGTTTTTTCATGTGCTACAAAGAACTGTAATACAAGTAGTTTCTTTCATGAAACATACAGTGAACTTCATTACTGAGAATAAACATTTTCCCTGTATTTTTGTTTGTTAACTTACTGTTTTCTGCTGGTTGTCTTTTTGGAGCAAGATAGAAAAGACATAATATTTATGTAAGAGTATGATGGCAGCAGATTCTGACAAGCCCCGTTTACACGGTGCATTGTTCCAAACGTGTCTGAGTAGAAAATACAGAAGCACTGTACAAACCTATTACATTTGAGAAACCATTAGCCTCAGAGGAGTATTAACGGCATGCTATGAAAACCGTGAATATATTTTCAGTATCTGTATTGAAAACAACTTTATAAATATGTAAATTTCCATTCAACAAATCCAAAACAAAATGCACTAAAAACCTGATATGTAGACAAAAGTTTATTTACACCATACAACATTTTAAATATTTTATACACAGCTGCAGCAGAGAAAGCTACTCAGAGCTTTCTAGAGAAAACTGCAATAATAAAGATGTGAAATATATTATTCATATAAAAGTGAGATTATTACTTTATTGCATTTAAAGCAATGAAGAATGTAGCTCAACAAACATTCATTTAATGACAAAAACTTTGCTTTTATATTATAAAGTAAAAAGTGTAGTAATGGCCAAACAGACTGTTATAAACTTTAAAAACTGCATAAATATATACATTGTGCTTCATGGTGAAGTTTTTTGAAAACTAAACCATATGAAGCGGTTACAACATGAATCGTTGCTTGAGGTTTATCTATAAAGATTACCTTACAAATCCATTCCACGGGTACTTACAACACAGGGTGGTCAGAACTGTACACCTGGTCCCTCTCCACTAGCCCGACTAGTGAGAAGTCACCGAATGCAAACACCACTGACATTTGGCACATGAAGGTCCTGACACAGGAGAGTCACACTGTCCAGATAGAAACGTCAGGCTTCCCAAGTCTTAAGCGTCAGTGCAAAAGCTTTGTCTCCACCTCAGGCCCTTTTGATTTTGTTAAACTTCTGTTTGAAAGTCGCCCTCTTGCACATCCAGAGGCAGACTCAGACACTTCTCCCACTCCGCTGGCCGCAGTTCCAAAGCGTCCTTTGCCTCTGTGTCTAAGACATTGATTGTGGTGTAATGTTGGTATTCACTGGGATTTTTGAAAGTGTCCCATGGATTCTTGTTTGGTGCTGGGTTTTCCTGTTGAGAAGAGAGAGGAGGAGAGCCATTTATTTGAGGACTAGGATTGCTGCCTGTTGAAGTTTCCAGGGAGAGGGCACCTTTGTAACCCTAACCCAGTTTACACGATTCAGGGAGGATCTGAAATCGTGGCCAGCTGCAGGAAACGGTTTTGATTTCAGTTTTCCTTCATGGAACAAACTGATGAACACCTTCTTTAAGCTGTCCTAAAATTTTCCGGCAATCAAAGGAAGTGAGTACTATTATGGGAGGCAAAGAAGATGATGTTTTGTTTTGAGCGTCTTGTGAAATGTCAGTATCACTCTGTGTTAAATTACCGCTAAGATTAAATGTAGAAAATTAAAGTATTTTGGCAGAATCTTGAAATAAACAAAATTTGGGGATATGTAATGAGGAATGTTATGTAATAATAAAAACAGTTACCCAAACTGACCATATTTCATAAAACAGAATTTTAGATCACTATCTTTGCTCAGTTTTTCCTCAAGATATTATCTTTTTTAGAATATTAAAATGCTGCTATGTTCCCTTGTGTAATCTATTTTTTTTCTGTATATTTGGGTGGCACACTAATTTAGCAAAAAGCATTCTTCCCTTCAAAGAGCACAGCTTTTTAAAAAATATAGGCGGTTTAAGAAAATGTCTACAAGCCACCATTCCTCATGTTTGAGGTTATTACACACCCTCTAATGTTACCTAAGGTTTAAGATCGGCCTCATTATGACTCCACTCAGACCTTCCATGTTATACGTGCTCCATAAATGTGTAGACATCATTTGGAGTTCCTATAGTCTGATGTGTTGCTAAGATTTAGCAGTGAATTTGTTTCATTTTAAATGTGTTGTCTAAAGATTTCTGTGAAATGAGAGAATTTGAATGGGATAGACTAAGCTGAGTAACATCAAAGAAAAAGAAGAAAGTCATGACTGAAAGCACCTTAGAAAAAACTAAAACAACTATTAGTTGTTGATGGTGTCCCTTACTACCCACCCCCCAAATTGCAGCCTTCAGTCGATTATAATCAATTAGCAGAGGGAACATAAAATAGGTACTTGAGTTATTATCTGGGTTCCACTCAGTATATTAAGCCATTCTCAAGTATGGATAAGCAAAAGAGACAGCTTATAGAAATGTTTATCATAACTAGAAATTAAATTATTAAAATCTTCAATACATTAGATATTTTTAGCACTTAGACTTAATCATGAGGACATACAAGAAAAAAATAGCTAATAGTAAAGATTTAATAAAACGTTAAACTTTAGGATACATGCAGGGGATTAATTCGGATTTAGTCTAGTATCCTAAAGTCTCATGAACTCCTAACTCTCCTTCCTCCCTCCTTTCTTCCCTCTCTCCTTCCTCGCCTCCCTTCAAACAACACTTATTCATCAGCTGCTCTGTGTTGGGCATCATATTAGGCACTAGGGACAATAAGGTGATAAATCAAATATGGAAAAGCAGCCCGGTCCCCCAGGGAGCAGAGGATTGACACACACAGGTCCAAACTCCAGTCGCTCCATTTCGTGTGGACGTGGCCTTGAGCAATTTACTCAATTTCCCTGAACCTCAACTTTAATATTTGCAGAACAGAGATATGCTTTGTATTGTGGGACAAAGGGGTTGACAAAATATGGGATTGTTACCTACTTTGTAGGGTCGCAGAAATAAAAGCAGAGGGGTGGAGCACAATGCCTGGCATTTAATAACTGTGCAGTAGACAGTAATCATCCTTATTAGGAAGGTGTTTACAGTTAAATGAAGGTGTAAGATATATATCTGCATCTATGCTCCAGGACAGTGCTGTGGGAGGTCAGGGGAGGGTGGAGATATGGCTTCCTTTTGTAGAAGCACAAAAACTCTCCTGTGAAAAGTGACATCGGGGGTGGCAAAGACAGATGGGCTTGGTCATGCAGATGTGTGTGGTTGGAGGTCAGGTGGCTAAACAGGCAGGCACACTAAGAAGTGAAAATCCAGAGAGCATGGCCATGGGACAACTAGGAGAACATGACCAATTCATTTTAGTCGGTGTGAAAAAGAACAGCAGAAAAATCAGGCAGAAGGTGAACTTTTAAGGCCAGATCACAAGGGTCTTCCTATGCCAGGCTCCTCAATTTGGAATTTGTTTTGTAGGCAACGGGAAACGGTGGCCTGTCTGGGGGCACTCCAGGGACCCGAGTCATCAGCCATCAACTGAAAGGGGCACCCGTGTGAATCCCGCTGAATCAAGCCGTGGAGGGACTGATCCTTCTTAGACAAGGGCTGTCTACAGGAGCTCTCTAGAATCCTGAGCTTGACAAAGTTCAGTTAGTTCAAGCCTAAAAGGATTCAAATATGTAAAACATTGGTTCACTTGCTTTCAAAATAGAGGTTCCATTATGTTTGGAACAAGTGTGATTTTCGTTTTATATTTTAAAGATCATGCACTGAGGATACATGAACTAAAAGGACCGATTTGAAACTTTGTCAGAATGTCAAGATTCTAATTTCAAAGAGTATTATTGCCAGGACATGACTGATTGCGTTTCTGAGAAGTTCTATTCATGGCTAGCAATAATTAATAAGGTTGGCTTTGTCATTCATCTCCTCGGGTATCCCATGGTACTCCCAGCTGAGCTGGGGCTCTCCTCATCGTTCACAAGTGTGTAGACACCTTTTAGGTCAGAGCCTCCCGCCTCTTTAGTGGTGAGGAACTTCTGGCCTGGGCAATCAGAGTGAGGACAGGACCTGCAGGGCGTGAGGAGGGCCGGTGCCCTCAAGCTACCACCTTCCTATACGATTGGGTGCGACCAGAAGGGGTCGGCAGACTCTCACATGGAGAGGAGGTGTAACATGCTCAGCGCTCCAAGTGAATGATAAACTGGAGCAGCCCGAGGGATCACTGACGTGACAGGAGAGCTCAGGGGCCAGGACAGGCCTCAGGGGAGGCCTGAACCTTACGATGCAAAGTTCAACCCAAGTTAGTATAAGTTCCTGAATTGATGCAGCTGGTTTTTGTTTATTTTTTGAGCTCAAGTGCAGAATGGTGGAGACGTAGTTAAACGGAAGCATGTGTGAGAAAGGCCTAATAAATTATAAACTTAATTTAAGCCAACATGTATGAAGCTTCCAAAATTGCTAATTTGGTCTTAGGCTGTATGAATAGAAATAGAATGCTAGCGGAATAGGGAATTCAGAGCCACCACAAACATGGCAGGGCTGCCCAAGTGTTCCCCACAGCTCATGGGCCGGGTCCTGGGGCAGGCCTGCTGTCACCCTGGGGTAAGTCCCTTCCTCATGTCTTTCTTTCCTTCCTTCTTCCAACCTACCAATATGGGGGACAGAGTGAGAGAGAGTACGTTTATTCTAGAGTCTAAAAGAGCAAGAATTTGCAGAAGCTCCATGGGGGGCAGGGATCTTGATGGAGAATAGGGGGTGAGAAACATTTAGAGTCAAAGAGTTCTTTTAACAACGCCTTTTCCTTGAGGTGTGGTTTAAATGCTGTCCTGCCTGGAAGCAGGGAAATGGATTAAATGGGCTTTGGTTTCCTTTTGATTCCCCCAAATTGTACATAATTACCATCGTTTGCAGTGCTAGGCAGGTGTTGCGAGTTCGTAGCCAGGAAAAAAAAAAGACATTATAGAGATTTTTGTTTTGAAAATGTCTTTCTCTACCCAATTATGCAATTTTTCATTAGCCATGTGCCACTACGAATTATATGACAATTAAGGATAATGAACTCACTCACATGTACATTATTAATCAAAACTAAATAAGGAACTCCTTTTTTTTTTCTGTTCTGAGATATTTAGCACAATAGTCAAGCAGCAATGACAACCCTATCCTCCCCAGTACTAACCTCCCAAATGACAAATATTTATAAATCTTCTCTAGAAAAAGCACGCTGCTGCAGAGATGTGGTGTAATTACTGGACTATTTTGGTTGTCAGGAAACTGAGACACAGATATTTGTGCCATTAATGATTTACTACCCAGACCATACGACAAGGGGAAATTACTATAACATAGCAGGCAGCCAGCTGTATCTGTTATATAAGTCTTTCAGATCTGTAAACATAACCCTATGTTTTGTTTTTTTATAAACAAATGAAGTTTCTTCAATCTATTTCAACATTAGCTTTCAATATTCCAAAATGAGTAGCTAATGTGTTTAAGTCTAACCTCAATGGCACAATTCTTATTTGCCTGCTAACTAAAAACTGACAGCTTAACATTTGGAGGAGTAGATGAGAAAGAACCACTCACTTTGGGTAAGTGTCTTCTACATGCATAGTATTGTGTTGGGAATAAGTAATGTGCGATTCCTGCCTTAAGGGGGAAAATAGACTGACACACGTGTGAACTATTCACAGACCAATTAGGAGTTAAAGTGTACAGTACTCCTTATAACCTTCACTTAACAAACACAGACTGAACTCTCAGAGACAGGCATAAACCAAGAGCAGCCACTCACTGATGACTCACCACGACCAGCACTGCACTGATGCTGAGAGGGACATAAGGCAAACACTGACAGGCGTAAATTCTTGCTCTTGATAGGCTAATGTTACTAACCAGAAGCCAGGACTAAGACTCATCACACACGTATGGAAGGATCCCTGGAGCCTGAAGGTGATCAAACAGCGTGTACCTTAGAGCAACATACAGATTAGGACCCCTTATATTGTGAGGAGGGGGCCATCCAAGGGCTACAACTGTGTGAGGCAAAGAACACACACTCTATTTGGAGTGAAGAAGCGTGGTGTCAGATGGCAGTGCTCAGCTTCTTATAGGTGAGCCTCAGCTTCTTAACCCCTCAAGTGCTCTACCTTCCTTGGAAAGTGTTGTGAGGATCGAAGGAAGCGTAAGTTAATCACTGTGTCCTGTGCTCAATTTAGAAGGAGAAAATTGAGGTTTAGAAACCTGAGCTGGATAACTTGCTCAAGATTAGATGGTTCTTGGTTGAGCTTTCTAGTATACTGATTTCTGGACTCCTGGTCCTGTGCCCTCACAAATAATTATGTAGTCTTCTCTGGAGCTATGACTGTGCCATGCAGAGCAACTGCAGACTATCATTTTATTTGATGAAGTCCTATGCTAGGATTGCGGTAGCGTGAATGCATGAGAAGAGAGTGGTCACAATCAACAGTCAAAGTCCCCAATGTTGATTGTTGATGTGTTCCCCAAAACATTTGTCACAAAACAAGTGAATTTCGAGGCCAGCCCGGTCGTGTAGTGGTTAAGTTTGCGTGCTCCAATTTGGTGGCCCAGGGTTCACAGGTTCGGATCCCTGGCATGGACCTACACACACCACTTATCAAGACATAAAATAGAGGAAGATTGGCAACAGATGTTAGCTCAGGGCCAATTTTCCTCATTAAAAAAAAACCCAAAAAAACCCACAAGTGAATCTCCTAGAGACAAAACCTACCATTCTGGTTTCAGGTAACAAAACCAACTCTCCCGCTCTCTCCCTCTTTGCTTGTACTATGACCTTAAAACACCAGGCATTCAAATGAAAATGGAAACATTTAGTTAACTATTTGGATATTTGAATTAACTTTTAGCTGATGAGAAAAGGCCCAGGTGAAGCCAACACATTTTTGATATATAACTAATTCCAATTAAAGCTTGTAAATGAGAATATTTGACATATGAATAAAAATGCCTAAAGATTCTGTCATTCCTAATTTGCCTCTTAGTACATTCCAAAGTACATTTTGAGGGGTTATTATTTTTTTCCATGTATGCAGGTCTTGTGTTCCGGAGACAACGAGGAGCATCTGAGGGCAGGATGATGGCTGACATGACATGGGGTCAGCGCAGGTCAGCCACCGAGCAAGCCCGGTATACTCACCATGCTGCTTGTATTTGGTATATCCCGAAATCTGTCCAACGTCTGAAATTTCTGATTGAGCTCCTGAAACAGTTCCATATGCCTCTTCCTCGTATGCATGACCTTCTGCAAAAGAGAACAGGATGGCTCTCATTTCTAATGTGATTTATGCATTAAAAAAAGAGATTTAATATTTTTGCATTACTAATAAGGGAAATCAAGTTTGGCAGGAACCAGGAGGTCCCAAAGGATGCCACAGATGCACATGAGTTGCACCAAATCCTTGTCTCATGGTCAGCACTTCTTGAACATGAAGAATTGGCTTTTTCTTCCACTTACAAAATTACCAAAAAATAGTTTTCTCTTGTGGGTGCATTAAAAATGTAACAGTCATTCCTGGGTTAGATTTTCATCATTCAAAGTTAAACCTGTTTTACAAAAATTGTTACAATATAAAAAAAAAAAGTTTAAAAATTTGGGCTTGTAAAGCACCCGAGTCTCTCATGCTTGTCATGGGAAATATTACTTTTTTATGTTTTATTTCTATAAACACTAAAATCCTAGCTGGCTGCACTAAAGGGGAAGCAAATTCCCAAGCCCTGCCATTAAAGCTGACTCAAGGCACTAAAGTATCCAAAATATATGTGAGATCTGAAATCTTACTTTCCATGTGAATAATGATTAAACTTCCAGAAGGAAAATCTGACCCATAAGTTTCATATTTGTTTATGAGACGGTACAGAATCTTAACAGTTAGGATTCAGAGCATAAATTGTGTGGTTGATGAGCTTCTGAAATCACAGATACAAATATGTTAGTACTCTTCATCCCTGGTTACGCCCTTTCTCCCAACTTCATTGTAGCTCAATGGAGTCATAAATAAAAATGACAATGGGGAAGTCCCGTGAGTTGAATCTTTTTCTATTGCAGAGCATTTAAAAGAGCACTAACAAAGAAGAGTTAGATAATAAATCCCCTGTATTTTCGAGTGTTACTTTAAAGGAGAAAATGCCTTCCTCAATTTTGATTTTTAAAAGTTACAAATCAATATTTCAGTGATTGTCCAAGATTGTGCCTTCATGTTTGTGTAAGATGTTATAGGATTTTTAAGCATGTGCTTCCTAACTCACCATCACTCATGTGGACTACGTAGGTTTGTTATATTCATGCCTAAGCTATGACTTGAACATTTGGTCTATTGTTTTAATTCCCATATATTTTCAAAAGTAAGGATTTGTTTTGAAAAAGAAATATATCTTTAGGGGAAGATCTATCATGCTTAATTTTCTTCTAAAAAGACGCTTGTGGAGAACTCTATCTCCTTGAGGAAAAAAAGGCAAAAGAGAAATGCAAATTGAATCTTTAACATATTTTTAAAAACCTTTTTCTCCCTTATGCTAACTTTCATTGCCTGTATTTAATGAGTCTGTGTTTAGACAATCCTTTGTTTAGCTAATTTCTTCTATTTTCATTAGCCTACTTTGAGAGAATCCTGCCATTTTAAATCCTGCTACAAGCAGATTATTTTCGTCTTTGCTCCTCTTAGCTCTAGGAGTTGGCTGTTGACGAACCAAGTGGTTGAGGATGAGAACATGGCAGCATTATTCATGACGGGGATATGAAACATAGCAAGCAATTACAGAGCAATTAAGCTCCCATCAGTTTTGGGAAGAGTACAGGAAACAGACTTGCAGGATTTACAGAGAAACACCAGGCAGACATAATTTGACTAGTGATGGCTGATGGAGATTTATGGAAGGGAAGATTTGCATAAGCAACTCAATGGTGGGATTTTGGGGACCACGTAGCTGGCAAACATAATGCAGTATGTTCTATACCTGGGGAGGAAAATAGTCCCATGCAGTATCAGGTCCCAAAACATTGATTAATGTATAGATTTGTGTTACAAGGAGTACCTTTTTAAAAAACTGTAGTCATCAGAATATTGACTCTGGCTCTAACTTACAAATAGTGTGTTTCATGATAATGCGTCTTACTCTATAGTTACTTTCTAGTAGAGTGGGTAGGAGTGATGTCACACTACTGACATTTCTCTAAAGATATTTCATTCCTTAGTTAATACATATTCATGAGCACCACATGTTGTGCTAGATGCTGGAGTAACGATGGTGTGCAAAAGCCCATAGAGTGGCTGCCCTCTTAAACTGGAGGTTGAAGGGAGGACCCAGGCAGTATTCACACAATAATGCAAATAAATGTTCAATTAGAACTGTGATAAGGAAAACAAATGGTGCTGTTATGAGGGCAAGTTATAGAGGAATTTGCTAAGATAAATCCAAGTGAGGTAGATTCCTAAATTTTTAAATATTCATTTTTAAGTTGAAAATTCCTCTATCATTTGCTCTTTCCTCCATTTTCTAAAATTTAGAGAATTTCTAGTGCCATTTTCAGTCTTATGCCCAAATCCCCTTTGCTCAATGAGATCATTCCTTTCCACAGACAAGGAACTCACTGTCTTCTGAGATAGCTGATGCTATTGGCACAGCTCCCTAGTTTTAAGGCGGGCTGTGATGACTTTGTATGTGCAGTCTCCATTTATCTTTCATCTCATGAGAGGATCCTGACTTTGCATTGGTAGCTATACCCTCCCATGTTGTTGGAAATGTCAGTCAAGGACCCTACCATGCCCTGGCCAAGAGGTTAATTATTCTATATACTTCTAACAAAGTTCTCTTTTTCTTGTTAGTCAAAATCACTCTTTGTCTCTTGCAACCAAATATCTCTATTGAACAAAGCATGTTTAATAGAGCAAACAAAGTGTCAAATATATCCCACGGAAAGAAGGATACATTAACCAGTCGGAGTTTGTATAATCATATTGAATGGACAGCACCTGACTCAGAACTGAGTGGATTTTAATTTGAGGAGGTTGATTGCTAGGACGTACTCAGATATGGTGGACACCAGTGTTACCTAACCAAAAAGCATTTTGCAATGTTCTAATAGGCTAATGAAAGCTACTCTGAATAATAAAGCTCAAGGACACTGAAATAAATATGGAAAAAACTGAAAATTTGGATGCTGAAATCTGGTGCCCTTCCTACCTACAAACATAAATTGCAAATACATCCTCATGCCAGATAATCATTCTAATTTGAAACTGCCACCTTGACACAACCAAAAATCACCATAGCAATGATTGCCTGCTGGTTCTGACAGAAGTACCACTTTAGAGCTGCCAGTCAACAGCTCAAGTATCTGTCATGGGCTCAGTTTTATTTTCGACGCGTGATTCCTTCTTGTTCACAGACTCAATGCATCTTTCATTTTTTAGTGAGGAAGCTTCCGCTGACAATAAAGGCGGCATCACAGCGAATACTGGAGAGTTTCTAACCCAGCAATTCTGGTATAAAAACTTACCTGTGGTTTTAGTTTTTACAAGTAATAAGGGTTTCCTCTTATTTAATTACTTGTCTGAATAATTATTTATTTGCAGCTCTCATGCCTTTAATGGTCTTAACCATCAAATTGGAAATTTTCATGCTTATAAATATTATTGGTCCATTTTGATGGCTATTTTTGGATTTTTACTGACCTTAAGGTTTATCTGTTTACTTTTTCTTTCTTTTATGACTTAAACATTGTGTCCTAAAGAAATTAGCTTCTGTGAAAAACTCAATTTAGAATTTAGTTTTATAAAACCTTGTAAAAATTTTATAACAATATAGTCTAATTGGCAATATATATAAACTTCAGGTTCCTCTAGTTACAGTGCCTGTCAAATATTATAGGCATCTTTTGCAATAAGGATAAATGCTTGGTAATGCTCCCTTCCCCTCAGATTATTATCACGCAACGGTTTTTGAAGCTGTGTATGAACCCCCATCCCAAGAGGACCAGCAACCTAATTGCACAGAAACATTGTCTTCTGAATAGCTTATTTCACAAAACACTTCTCTTTCATTTTATGTCTCTGTAACTCAAGGGAGGCAGTCTTTGTGGCCTTTTGATTGTTGCTATTAGAGAAAAAGCGATAAGTTGTAAAGCACTTTTATGAAATTTCAGATATTTGAGAAAAATTAGGATATTGTGGGGGATCAGAATTGGCCACCCCAAAATGTGTCTCTTTGCCTTGATTATTTTTAAGAACAAAAGACTATGAAAGTAACTTTGGCTTTCCCCCTAATTACCTAAAAGAATTTAAGATAGAAGGCCTATGCCCAGGACGGGCCATCATCATAGATAACTCTGGGTGTCAGGAGACTGGGAGGGTCCTTGCTAAGCCCATTCTTATCAAAGTTCTGTTTACCAGACACTTCCTTTTCCATTTCCATGGGAATTGCCTTCCTCCCCCTTTGAAGTCCCAAAACACTACCCACAACATCCTCCTTTGTCTTTAGCTGAAGATAGTATTAAGGTAACAGCCTCCGCCATTTTGGAGAGTTGCTCAGTTTTCCTGAGTGTCTCCCATGTACACATGTTATAAAGCTTTGTTTAATTCTCTCTCTATTCTGTCTCATGGAATTTAATTCGTAGGCAAGCCAGAAGGACCCAGAGGGTAGAAGAATTGTCTTCATCCCCTACAATATAAACAACCTGTATGTCTTCAGCACCTACCGCGTCCCAGGCAGTCCCCTGGATGAAATCCTGGGACACGGCAAAGCTAACAGCTCTGAGTCTGGACAAAGCTGGGTTTCTATCTCAGTTCCATCACTTTCCAGTTGTGTGGTCTGGGCACAAAATCCTTTTCACTCATTTCAGTAGTCAGAATAACCTTGCAAAAGCAGGGCTGTTTTGAAGATTTAAAAAGGGACCTAAATCACTTATCGGTGGAGCACAGAGATAAGAGCCACTTAAGGAATGTTGGCCATTATTATCTTTCTTAATCCTCACAACAGCCCTGGGAGGTAGGAGTCACTCTCTCACTTTCCTGATT